AATTAAGAGCAAGGGTTGATTATTCTGCGCTTTTTTTTTTCAGTGTAGTTGATTGTTAGTCGATGAGTTTTTATCTTAATTCTTATTCTTATTATTTTTTATATATTTTATATACTTTTTATTTATATATACTTGAGACAAAATTTTTTCTATTGTGATTGTAGTTTCAAGATTTTTTTATTTGGTCGTTTCTTTACTAGTAATTGCTTCAAAATATTAGTTAATCGATTGGCATAAATTATGCGTGTGTTGTCTAATGGTGTTTCCTGAAAAATTTCTTTCCATATTTGGTGGAAAGTTGTACCAAAACGTGCCAATGCCGGTGTGTATGAAAAATGGCACAGTATATCATTTCGAAAATCTAATTTTCTTTTTTCTTTTTTGTTCCATTGTTCATCTAGTACTTTATCGCGATATGTTGCATGGTCATTGCCTACTAACTGATCGGGAGATTCTATTTTTGTAAGATCTTTATAGAGGGTGTGGGTGTGGGTGGCTGTGGGTGTGGCTGTTGGTGTGGGTGACTGTGGGCGTGGGTGTGACTATTTCATTAAACAACACCGACACCCACACCCAGCCCAACCCATTCGAAACAATAAAAGCACATCAAGAATTTCTTGAAAATAAATACAAAACACTAGAAAACGAGAGAGAAAAGAAGTTACATTTATCATTTTCTGAACAAACATGGACACAAGTAGTCTCTTTCGTGAAGAAAATCCTTGAAAAAATCCTTGAAAATAAAAGAATAGTGACCAGAAAAGATTAGATAATCTTCTACTAGATCAAACGAGAGAAAAAGCAATACGAGAAATTAAAGATATAGCAACAGAATCAGAACAACAATACATACAGACACTACATAAAAAATTTATGAGAACACTAGATCTAAAATTACAACTTGATAAATTAGAAAAGAGATTCATGGAGAATATGCCACCACCATCTTTAAATATGTTTAATAAATTACAATTACATGCGAAAGGACTAAAATCAGATGACAAATTTCTGATTTCACTACGTGAACAATGGAAAAATGTCCTTCGAAAAACAAAATTAGACTTGACTACATTGATGAGACAGGCTAAAGTAGTCGAATTAGAACAGGCAAAGAAAGAATATGAAGAATTAATAAAAAAACCTTCAGAGCAGATTCGAGAATCATATAACGTTATATGTCAGGTATCACAAACAAGACATAATCAATTTGCAAAAAAGAAACTGAGTTTTTTAGCAAAAAGGGCGTGCATAATCAACGAAAACTAGTACACACCCTAACACATAGTCATCCGAAATATTCAAAAGCAAAGTTACATCCACACTACACTCGAATTAATTTTCCTCCACAAGCAAATAATAAAGTTTTCATACTACAAGATACAGAAGCTAGAATAATTATTATGTTTCCTGTATATTTATTGAAAGATTATTTCTATAAAAGTAAAGTTTTAGATTTGTGAGTATCGTATGATTGTCTCTCAAACATTTCTTTTCACCAATTTAACCCAAACTGCTTCTGGTGCGAGAACTGTTCGTTCACGAAGATTGAATTTGGTTTCGAGATGTTCACCGGGCAGAATGGAATATTCACGCAGCAGTCGCACTAGTAGAATCTTCATTTCGATCAGCGCAAAGCGCATGCCAATGCAATGCCGTGGTCCTGCTCCAAACGGTAGATAAGCCAGCGGATGACGTTTTCTTTCATGACGTTCGGGAAAGAAGATGTAGGGATCTTCAGGACCCCAAAGTTCCCGATCGTAATGGACGGAATAGACATCAGCATACACTAAGGTACCTTCAAAAGACAAAAGACATGCATCATCTCATATACGACTGTCATAAAGATGAACAACATTCTTTAGATTAAAATACAATTCTAATAGATTTTCCGATGGTTTTGAAAAGCTTTAAGTGTTTCCTAACATGAAACTACATAATTACCTTTGTCGATTTTAATTCCTTGTACAATTGTATCCTCAAAGGCCCGTCTTTGAACGGCTTGATTTGCAATGGGATACATTCTCAAGACTTCCGACAAGAACATGTTCATATAGGGCATCTGCGCCACTATATCATAATCGGGATATTTTTTGATTTCTTCGTCGGTCGTATCATCAGTGACCAATGGAAGTTGGTCGATTTCAGACTGAAGCTTCTGAAGAACTTCTGGATGTCGGGCAAGTTCATACGTTGCACAAGCCAAAGTAGTTGATGATGTTTCATATCCTCCTATCATGAAGATAAAGATGTTACTGATGATTTCTTCTCGAGTAAGTCGATAGTTTGCCTTGCTACCATCTTGCACTTCATCCTAAAAGAGATATGTATTTAAGATAGACTTGTTATTGCCTTCACTCCCTCGAATGGAATAAATTTATTTGGAAAAGCTCTTTTTCGAGAAATCTGTGTCCCTAATGATGCTTATTAAACTCGCTAGATCTGACTTACATTAATTTGTTCGTCGGTGATCACTTGTAACATTAGTTGCAAAAGATCGACTCGTGAGGTTGGTGTCTGCTGACGTTGCTCGAGAATTGAATGTAGTCGGTTCTGAAGCCACACATCTGGACGTTCATACAATTGTCTCTTTGACACCGAAGCTAAAAGACGGATATTGATGAACGCCCGAACTGTGTTGATGACATCAAAGATTTTTCCAAGAATGCCTCGTGCCTGAGGCACAAGTTGAAGAAGTTTGAAAAAAAGACTCGATTTAATGCCAACATCAAAGACCTCTTCCACTTTCTTGAAATATATATTGTTTGGATTATTCTGTAAACCAGTGTCAAGTCCAAATGCACATCGACCTAAACCATACTAGAAATAGCAGGTATCGAGAAGATGTGAAGATATACTTACATATAACGTCCATTGTCATACGTTTATAATATGTGTAGATATTGAATTCATTCACGGAAGTGACATGATCGACTATTTTTTCCATGAAATTAGTAATACATCCATTGATTAGAGGACTCATCAATTTTAGTTTGGCTGCAGAAAACGTTGGATTTAATATGTGACGATGCCGACGCCATTTTGCACCCGATGAAGTAAAGACACTTTGAGTTTTACCACCTACGAAATGGTGGTTTCGTCCCAGAAAAACGACAAATTGTTTGACGAAGACTTCTTGAAGAAAATCAGGATCGCTGACAACAAAGGTAGGAACAGTTCCTTGATAAATTCCGTAGATCTTGCCATATCCTTTCGTCCAGTTTTGAAGTTGACGATGAAAGGATTCACAACTCCATAATGTTTTAAAATGACCAAAAACGAAATGGAAAGGTGGTGTAGGAATACCAAGTCGACTAAAGTATTGATAACGTTGACGTAGCAGAAAAAAGTAATACGTCGCCAGACCAATGCATACAAGAAGCAAAATTATTGATAAAGGTAACATTTTATTTACTTAATGTTAAAAAAAAAGAAAACTCGCCTGTCTTTATATAGATGAATGATTATGCTACCTTTTCTCTTGATCGTTCTGTATTAAGATATGAAGTGCGTTTAATAACGTCAAACTATAAGGTGGGTCACACGTACCTTTGGAATGTAAAAGGACGACGTTCTTTTCAATTCATTCTTTCCTTCATTGATATTCGTCCTTGTTGAGAAAGAAAAATATCACTATTCAGTATAAATATATGTTGTGGGCAAAATGAAAATTTAGGCAAATTATAATTTGCCTAGCCAAAATTGAAATTCTAATTTTGACCAGGCAAAATTAAAATTTTAATTTTGACTGGACATTAATATAATAATAAATAAATAAGTCCCATAGGATTATCTCCCATCGGGGCCAATAGATGAAAGAATAAGATCTTTCCAACCTTTTCTATTCTGAGCTAGATGGAAAAGATCTTGTATATTGCAGTTGCACCAATCTGTGATATCATCTAACCATTCTCTAGAAGGACGGCCAACTCGAGATTTTCCACCCATTCTAGAGAGTACCACTTGCTTTATTAGCCTGCTATCATCCATTCTACTAATATGTCCAAATAATTGTAACTTTCTCTTTTTTATGATATCCACAATAGTAGTTTTTCGGGATATCATTTTTCTTACAGCCTCATTTGATACTTTATCTGTCCATTTGATTTTTAATATTCGACGATAGCATTTCATCTCAAATGCTAGTAATTTCTTTTTATCACTTTCCTTTAGTGTCCATGTTTCTGATGCATATAATAAAACAGTGAACACAGTTGTAGTTAGGATTTTTAGTTTACTTTCTACTTTAATCTTTCCATTACTTATTATATGTTTTAAAGAAACTAATACTCCTGTTGCCTTGCTAATTCTTCTTTTGATTTCTTCGGCGCAGTTATTATCCCAAGTTAAAAGACTTCCAAGGTATTCGAATCTGTTGACATTTTCAATGACTTCTCCAGATATCTTAATCTCTTGGTTATTGTCTTTCTCCCCGAACACCATTATTTTTGTCTTTTTTGCGTTTATAATTAGTCCAGCGGGCTTCGCTGAATTGTTCGTGGATTCGATTTGCTCTGTAAGACTATTAAAATTTTCGTCGATAAGATCTATATCATCAGCAAATCGTAGGTTATTTATTAGATTTCCATTGATGTTGACTCCACAAGGTTTTTGTTTTACCTTCTCCATTATTCGCTCGAGGTATGTTATAAATAGAAGTGGAGATAATGGATCTCCTTGCCTAGTTCCTACTCTAGTATAGAACCATTCTCCATCTTCCTTATTTATTCTGATAGCTCACTGAGCTTTTCCATAGATTTCCTTTAATAGCCTGATTAATTTACCATCGACACCATAAGATTGTAATACTGCCCACAAAACTTTATGATTAACAGTGTCAAAAGCTTTCTGGAAATCTATGAAGCAATTATAGATTTTTTTACCTTTCCTTTTTGCCTTTTCCGCTATAAGTCTCAATATTAGGATTTGATGAACAGTACTTCTATCTTTCCTGAACCCTGATGGTTCTTCGGAAAGATAGGGATTCAATTGATAGTGAAGTCTGTTTAGTAGTATTATTAAAAAGATTTTGCTAATATGATCAATGAGGGAAATAGTTCTGTAATTTGAACATTCTGATAAATCCCCCTTCTTATGTATTGGGATCAAAATTGACTTTCCCCAATCTTCTGGAAGCGCTTCACTATGCCATATTTTATTACAGAGTTTGTGAATTTCATATGTTAGTGATTCTCCACCACTTTGTAATAATTCAGCTTGGATTCCATCTAAGCCAGGACTTTTATTCTTTTTTAATGATTGTATAGCTTGTTCCACCTCCGAAAATAGGATATCATGAGATTCTTGTTGAATTGGTGAGGAAATTTGTTCTTATTCTTTTATTAATATATCTCCTCCACCATTATCTTTGTATAAGTTA